TAGCAGAAGGCTCCAAAGGGTGTTATGAATGCCGTCTTCTCCTGGTCCTTAACTGCCATCTTGATCTGATGATAGCCAGAATATGCGTCCAAAAAACTTAAACGCTCACAAGCCGCCGTAGCATCAATGATCTGATCAATACGGGGGAGGGCAAAAGGATCTGCTGGACAAGCCTTATTAAGATCTGTGTAATCTACACACATGCGCCAGGTGCCGTTTTTCTTAAGGACCAGCACCGGATTGGCAAGCCACTCAGGGTGAAAAACTTCAATAATAAAGCCAGCTGCTAAGAGCCTGGCTACCTCTTCTCCAATTGCCTTTCGTCTTTCTTCGTTAAACCGGCGGAGAAACTGTTTCACCGGTTTATATTTAGGATCCACATTAAGTGTGTACTCAGCGAGTTGCCTCGGTACACCTGGCATGTCAGAGGGTTTCCATGCAAAAATGTCCTGATTCTCACGGATGAACTCGATGAACGCGCTTTCCTATTTTGGATCCAAGTTGGCACTGATGTTGAACTGCTTGGACGAATCACCAGGTACAAAGTCAACCAGCTTAGTTTCTGCTGCCGATTTGAACTTCAGGACCGGATCGTGCTCCGTAATTGGCTTCTTAAACGGAGTCATGTCCGCCGGATCAACATTGTCTTTATAGTATTTCAACTCCTTGGTGGCACAAACCGACTCTGCATAAGCCGCATCTCCTTCCTTGCATTCCAAAGCGATTTTGCGGTTTCCGTGAACTGTTATTTTCCCCTTGTGACCCGGCATTTTGAGCTGCAAATACACATAACAGGGCCGAGCCATAAACTTGGCGTATGCCGGACGCCCAAACAGGGCATGATATGGACTTTGGATTTTCACCACTTCAAACGTTAATGTCTCCGACCTGGAATCATGATCATCCCCAAAGGCCACTTCAAGAGCTATCTTACCAACGGGATATGCTGATCTGCCAAGCACTACACCGTGGAATACTGTATTGGACGGTTTGAGATTCTTATCTGTTAGTCCCATACGACGGAAGGTCTCATAGTATAGGATGTTAATGCTGCTCCCTCCATCCATGAGCACCTTGGTGAACTTGTAACCTCCCACCTAAGGCGCCACCACCAGAGCCAACTGACCCGGATTATCGACCTGGAGTGGGTGATCCTCTCTGCTCCATATGATTGGCTGTTCAGACCAACGTAGATAACGGGGTGTGGCCGGTTCAACAGAGTTGACTGCCCGCCTCTGAACCTTCCGGTCTCGCTTGTCCAAGCTAGTGATAAAGACATGGTACTGCCCACTACTCAACTGCTTTGATTTGCTTTGGTAACCTGACTGTTGCTGCTGTTGGTTGTAACCACCCTGGTTGTTCTGACTATTTTGACCATTATGCCCGCCCGGATTACCATTAAATCCTGAACCGGAACTTCCTCCACCGTAACCCGGCCCGGATCCTGAGCCGCCGCCAGATCCGTGATCATACCGAAAATTATTAGAATTCTTGAACTCCTGCATAATAAAACAATCCTTCCAAAGGTGGTTTGCTGGCTCCTCCTTCGTCCCATGTTTTGGACAGGGCTGGTTTAGCAAATAGTTCAGGCGGTTTGGGTTGGGGTTGGGCGCTCCACTACGATTTTTTGGCCTGCCCTTGCGCCGCTGGCCATTGTCCTGTACGTTGGTATTAGCCACAAAATCCATGTTGCCATCCACTTTACGCTTGCCTCGTCCGCCATTGCCTACTCAGTGATGCTTCTGACCTTTTGAGCTGCTGTTCTTCTTCCCCTTCCCTGTCTTGTCATCATCAAACTCGGGATCCTTGGTACTATCAGAATCAGCATATTTTACCAAAGCGGCCATGAGGGTTCCCATGTCGGTGCAATGACGCTTCATCCGTCCCAATTTCAACTTTAGGGGCCCAAACAGGCAGTTGCCTTCTAGGGTTAATACTGCGGTGTCAGCGTTGATGCGGTATGAGGAGTGCAACACTTGTGAAACCCGGCGCACCCAATGAGTCGTTGACTCTCCTTCCTCCTGGACGCATGCAGCTAAGTCCACTATCGACATAGGCTGTTTACAGGTATCCTTGAAATTGTTGATAAACCGGGCTCGTAATTGGGCCCACGAGCTGATAGAATTAGCGGGCAAGCTTTTTAGCCAAGTACGGGCCGTTCCTTCAAGCATCATGGTGAAGTATTTCGCACACGCCGTGTCATCCACATCAAGCATCTCCATGTCCATCTCATAGCTCTCTACCCATGTCTCTAGTGGTTGATCAGCCGTATAATTTGGTACCTTGCGTGGGCCTTTGAAATCCTTGGGCAGGCGCACGTTGCGTAAAGCGGGGACGAGGCAAGGCACCCCCAAAAAACTAGAAGTAACACCAGGTTCGATCGAAATGGTTGGACGAACCGGCGTGAGCTGCCGAGCCTGATGTTGTGCGGCTAACTCGGCCTCCCTGCGCACTCGGGCCCGGTTCACCACTTCCTGAGCGTCATCGGCACCACCCGTCGGGTTGTTACCACGAGGTGCTCCACGTCGTTCATTACTCGACACTGCTGGTTCATCCATATGTCTGCTATAACTCCGGCTTGGACGGGGGGTCGAGTGGATCCGGTCGCGGTTGTACGAGTACGCTTCCTGTTGGGCCAAAGCTGTCCTCAGAAGTTCCTTGACCCGTCGCGTCTCTACTGCCTATGGCGAGTCACCTTCAACTGGAATGGCCTCCAGCCGTGCAGCAGCGGCAACAAGGTTGTCCATTGGGTTGGAATAATGACCCGGAGGTGTTAAAGCATCCCGAGGTATAACGGTGTTTTGACGAGGCGGGTCCATCTGGCGGGGCTGAACCGGCGCACCGGTCCCAGGGGTTTCTGCCTGGTTCCCCTCCAGCGGATTGTTGGCTCTTGGTCCTGGAGTGTTGAAAAGGTCCCTGGCCTTGAAAACCGAAGGTAAGCGGGATCGGTGCTTCCTCCTCATGACTTCATGCGACGCGCTCTGGTCCAACATAAGCCTGTAGGCCTGTGCATCTAAAGCGGCCCGCTCTGCGGCCATCCTGGTGTCCTCAGCCGCCAGATCCGTTTTGGCCTGGGTGATTTGTTCCTTTACCTTTGCAATCTCCGTGTTGTGAGCGTCCTGATCTAGTGGATTAACTTTTGCCATAAGCACAGCCAACGCATCAAACAGTTCTGATAGAATCTGAGCCGGCGGGCGCATAGGGCCTCCTGCCTCGGCAGCCGTTGCCGCTGCTGAACCGGAGATCGCTGCCGCGGCTGTCGAAGAGTGAAGCGCTGCTTGTGTTCCGGTCATAAATATTCCAACCCGGTTAGGCAGATCAGAGGGGTCCGGAATACTGTCACCATCGGAACAGCTCTCAATCCGGCCATCTTGTAGCTGATAAAGAGATTCGGTTTCTCCGGTCGAAGAGTCGTCACCAGAACAAACGGTAGTTGCCCCGCGAAGCTCCGATACATCCTCATAACTCCCTCCATGGATCATTCCCACGAAGGCACGCTTCATGGCCGGTTTAACCTGGGCGGATCGCGCATGCTGTGCCGTCTCGACGAGGTTGGCGCAGATGTCCGGCTCAGGGCCCGGTTCACCGATCTTGCCAATGAAAACGTGAATGCTACCAAAGGGGACCCGGTACCCGTACTCAATTGAGTCGGCCTCGGGGCCCCAGCCTGCGTCATCGATGTAGAGTTTGCCGCGACGACTTTTAGTCATCCGGCCTACATCGTAGCCCTTGAGTCCTTCAAAGCGGCCCTCCAAGAACCGGAAACCATCGTGCGATAGCCCCACGGTGGGCGCCAACTATCGGGGGGGTTGTCACGGCAGATGTCCTAGAGAAAAGACTTAGTCGTGGAGCCATCGCGACGGGTTAGCTTGAAGGGGTTAAAGCGGACACAAGGACGCAAGGGGAGTTTATACTAGTTCGGCCCCTTCAATGAAGGTAAAAGCCTACGTCTAGTTGTGATGGAATTGATGGGTGTTTTGATGACTAGGGAGCAAACAAGCTTCGCCTATGTCTCGAGTTGCCGTCTCCCTCTTGAACCGCCGCCGGGTCGCCCCCTTATATACACGGGTGACGCCTGTCGGTTCAGAGGGTCCCAACACCGGTTCATACTCGTATCCGGGTTGGTCTCTCCTTATTCCTAACTTATAGTACAAGTATATGTACAAACGCCGGTATACGGCTACAGGTTTTAAACCGACTACGGGCCCTAGGCCTTTACCTGCCTATTTAGGCTTTAACACCTTTGAACTACTGATGAAGTTAATCCGGCTCAGGTAGGCCGGTTTACGCCCAGTAGTAATATCCCCAATAGCCCGCGTCCTTCAGATCTTCACACTACTACAGAGCAAGACTATTAACACCCCTCATCACACAAGGTTAGCTGGTAAGTGTGTGCGATAATTGCCAAAACATGATCGTGTGCGATGAGATACGTTCGAGCCGCTGGAGTGTGAGGTGACTTGCATCACATATGGTTACACGGAATGAACCATTTGTGATGTGCATTGTCACATCCATCAAGCTTGCACAAGAAATAAGGATGTCAGCGGATGCATGTCCGCTGACCTGCTTATTCCTTGGAGCTGAACTTTGAGCCTATTTGCTTGAAGTTATATTGCGTGAGTTACATTGAGTCAGTTAAAAAAAGTATCATAATATAAGAAATAGGACTAAGAGGCATATGAATTCTCTCAACAGCTTATCAAGAACTTTATATATCCCTAACAAAAAATTAGTGGATATCACCAAGAAGAAGCACAGTGTCTAACTGAACCATTCAGCCTCTTATTATTTTGAGCAAATAGGCTCACAAAAAGTAAGTGCAGTCATGGATGTCACTTGCCATCTATCAGCCTGCTTAAGTGAGTTCAGTTGTAGAGTGTTCCTTGCGGTTCAAAGAAGGCATGCAAACATCAAATGAGCCTAGTTTCCCAAACCAACTTCTATGTGACAACTAATTTCAGATAACCTTTCTAACATTTGGAGAAGGGACATATAGCTCAGGAGCACACCACGGATTCTTGTTCATTCAAATAAACGGCTTTTGCTGACTTCCTCTATTATAGTGTGATAGATAGATCATGTGCTAAGTGTTTTGAAAAGAGAAGTTACTTTGCCGTTGAAAGAATAAAAAATGAAGCACAAACCTTTCTCGCCGAGTCCGATGTGGTGAACTCCTTCCATAGATCCTACGGACAAAGATGAACACAAAGCTCTGTCGGTCCAGGAAACAGGCAGAGATCAATGTGAGTAATCCAAACCAAACCAAGAGCTCAGGCAACGATGAGCACTCACCTTGATCTTGTCGAGCTTGCCCTTGTTCAGAACCTTGAAAACGGCGAACCCAGTGGGCGTCTCAAACAGCACCAACATCTCCACCTAAACCGCAACTCAACCCACCTGGATCGCAAGGACAGCCACACAACCAAATCAAAACAAAGACAAAAAAATTCACAAAACAAAGTAGGGTACCAGTGGCTGGGACGTTCGTTGTTCGTCCAGGTACACAGTACACCTCGGTCAAACTAACGAAACACGAGAGGAGTAAGCCACTGCCCAGCAAACTTACCTCGAGGGAGAGAGTAGAACAACTCCCTGCAAAGGTAAAAAAGATAAAACAAGAACAGAGTCAGTCATGAACAGAGCGTCAAGGAATCCATAGACCAGCATGGAAGAGACTTTCACACAAAAGAAATAACTCACCCACGTACATTTGCTTCCCACAATCCCTGCAAATTGAAGGAACACAAACAACAGAGGAAAATATGGGGAGAGGAGGAGAATGAGTAAGCCGAGCAAGCACCAGTGGCGAGGTTTGTAGGAGTCGGGATGAGAGAGGAGATGAAAGCCCCACTGTTCTTCCCCTGCTGCTCCTTGCGCCCCATGCCGGCCTCTTCTCCATCCCGCAATGTGTGCGGATCCTAGAGCTCGGGCCTCGTTGCTCCCCCACCGGTGGCCTCCCGGCCATCGCCTGCTCCTCCATCCCAGCGGGAAGACCCCGCCTCCTGTCGGCTTGTTGACGCCGTGCTCCCCGTCGGCTTCCTGCATGCAAGCTCACCAACGGGCGTCCCCTGGCTCGCGGTGGCGGCGGACCCTGACCTCTTGCGCGGCACCCCGGCAGTGGTATGACGCCGCAGACGAAGGCTTCCAAGTGGAGTGGAGGAGGGAGGTGTGCCGGGCGCGGCGGGGACGATTTTTATCTCCCGCTGGATGACCCGGTCAATATGCACGCGGAAGAAAACAAGCCCAGCTACCGTTGTGTGGGACCATCAGCCAACAAGGCCCACCCGTCATATTTCGCGGGGCGGGTTCATACGCTTCAGTCCATCCTCTATCTTCCTCTAGCCAATCGCAGACGAGACACAGCCAGCGGGTTCATACGCGTCGGTCCATCCTCTATCTCCCTCTAGCCAATCGCAGACGAGACACAGCCAACAGATCCTCATCACACGAAAGTAAACAACCCAAGCGACGGATTTGTGGGACCAGGATTCATTGCGGACCACCAGTCATTGTGTGTAAAGGTAGCGGCAGGTGTGCAAGCGTCAGGCCATCTGCTCGGACTGCTCCCCCCAACAGTTGAAAATGCACCCACGACGCGCGGCGTGCGCGGAGAGGCTCGTCTGCGCACCCGATAAGCGCTCGCCCAGCCAATCACGTGAGAGGCCGAGCCCATAGGTCATGGTCCGCTATGAACTCACCGCACGGTCAAAACAATTCCAGCGAAGATCAAACGTCTACCAACGAAAGAAAGAGCAGTTTCACCAAGATCCAACGGCAAAATCAAAGCAAATCGAGGGACAACAGTGGAGACGAGTTGTCCAGCCTTCGCCTTGTACAATGGGAGGTGCTTAGGGAAGATGCTTAGAGAAATAAACCAGATTTTTCTTAAGCACCGGTGTTTATTTGTATAGGTAGACGGTTAACTAAGCATCTCTCCTGTAGAAATAGGCACCGGTGCTTCAGAAAATCTCGGTTTATTTTTCTAAGCACCCCTCTAAGCATCTCTCATTGTACAAGGCCTTATAGGTTAGAATGGACTGTCACTATGAATCTTCACCTGTTCCGGGCAGAGTAGGTCCATAGTGACAGTCCACATTCCCCACAATGAGAGCAATGATGGCTGCCGGCTCTTTTTGTTAATCCAGCTAAATTTTTTTTGACTTTTTCGTCTGTGTGAAAGCACTTTTTTTTCACATCCTTGAAATGCACCCAATTTAGCATGGAAAATCCTATATGATGTCTTTGCGACATGGGAGGGGGGGACGAGGGAGGGACAGGCCCTACCACCGGGAGCATAAGTTGAAATGTTGACACTGAAAACCCTCGTAGGCCTTTTGCAGACGAGGGAGGGACAGGCCCTACCACCGGGAGGAGGGGGGGGGGGCGAAATTATCTCGTTGGCATGCCTGATCCAAGCATTTAAATCCTAGGAAAATCATATGATGCCTGTAATTATCCATCATTTTGTTGAGATACTCGACTGCTATCTGGGCAGTGTAAGTGCTTCCCTGTGATTTCTCTTATGGATTAGCATTATTTCTAGAATGTACTACTATTGTTTTGACTGTCTTTTTCATAATATCTTTAGGTATGCGAGCTGGATTTGATTTTGATATTCAATTTCCACAAGGTAATCTCTTTCACATATGTTGAAATGTTGACACTGAAGACCCAGGACTGGAGTTATATGCAATTTCTTGCCAGACTTATGCCATTTTTGTGAGTCATGGGCTCATTTTCATGAGTACATGGGGAAATTTGCAGGCCTACTACGTACTGGATGAGATTCTCATTTCTGGTGAGCTTCAGGAATCTAGCAAGAAAAACTTTGTTAGGTTCCGCACGCGAATTACTCCATTACAGATGATTTGAGTTCAGATACGTGGATTTGGGGAAGGAGGGAGGAGGAAGAACAGCAGGTAGGAGAAGATAAGGGTAAGGAGCCGTTGCCTTTGCCTGATCCAAGCCCGGATGCCTCTTCGCTGCTTCCTACGTGGATACTTGTAGTCAGGCCTCCCTTCATGTGGCACTCAACCAGGCCCGGCCCATGGGCTGCTGTGGCCGTAATTGGGTCGCTGACATCCCCTACCCCTTGAGATTCGGCTTGACCCCAAGCCGCTTTCACGCAGGGCTCACCAGGGTCCCAGGGTGCTTGAAGATCCTTGATCATGTCAGATTTTTCGTGGTATTTGTCGCGGAAGTAGCCATTGTCAAGGTGTACTTGAACGAGGTTGAGGTGGATACCAATATTATTTTCATCTTGTTCCATACCAGTGGCAGTCCCCTTTGGTGGTAACCATTTTGAGCCCGTGCATTCCATGCTTTCTTCTGGAGATGGAGTGTGCATACTAGTTGAAATTGGGGATGAAACATCCAAGAGCGGTCCTCCTGGATCCCAATCTGGTCCCCAAGAGAAACACCACCAATAGCTTGACAAGGTACTGACATGATCAGTAAAGCTCCAAGATTGAGTCAATTCCCCAAGAACTCCAATGAGGTGCAGAGACTCTGAATTAGTTCGCATATAGCTTCTGAATTCTGTATGAAGAATCAGACCCTCATGTGATCCTTCAAAGACGATCTGCATATATCTTGTAGACCACACAACATAAGGAGCAGTTCTTGCGGATGGAATGAAGGCCACCGGGGATTGATCACCAATGTAGAGAGTACAAGCAGAAGTAGAAGAACCATAATCACAGGAAACTCCTTGAATAAAACCAAAGCAAAGCGAACTCATATATCCAAGTAGTTTATGCACATTTGTGAATGGAGCTGCTGGAATGGGCCATTTGAGGTTGCACCTAGACTGGACTTTGTGAAACTGTGCAGAACTATCCTTTGCATTCCTTGGCTCGGCTCCAAGATCCCAGACGCAGCAGGAAGTACAGTTTTGACCAAATATCTCTCCCTCAATTCCAGTGGCCCGTAACTTCTCAAGCTGCACATACAAATGCCCATAGTTGCAATTCAGAGTGACGCTGATTGAGTAAGAATTCAGATAAGATTCAAGATGTCCAGAAGACCATGGTTTACTGCTCCACTGAAGAGACCAGAAAATTCTGCAATGGAGTATAAGATAGCATTTCTTGCAGTTTTCTTTCATCCTTGACTGATGGTCGGATGTAGGAAAGTTGCATATGGCAGCATGCTCTTGCACTTGCAAATTTGTAGAAACTCCAGCGGCACTCTCCCTGTTGCATATGTCCTCATGCTGTTCAGGTCTAGCCTCACAGGGAAAACGCAATGCATTTCCCTATATTAAAATGCGTGTACTGCAGTTATCTTCAGCAGTCGACTTGAGCATGCCGTCGACATCAGTAACAGCAAGATCATTCTGATGACCAGGTACAAAGCATACTGAATTTACCAAGCAAGAGTTATCAACTAGCAGTAGAACACCATTTTTGAATAAGTTGTCCACCTTTCTGGAATATGCAAATTGGGATTCTAGTTCAGACATAAGTAGGGAGTACTTCTGAAGAGATGAGGGGTTCAAATCACCAAGAAACTCGCAACTGTCAGATGTTTTATCAGTTTCGCTGTCAGTGTCTGCTGAGCATTCGTCTATACTTTGGAGGTTTAAGCTAGCTTCACACCCAACCAATCCAGGAGTTGTATTCCCTTCATAATATTCATCTTCGTTTTCAACTTCTGATCCAGCCGGAAAATCAGTCATGCTTGAATCTCTTGAAAATTGATATTTGCATGTTGCACATCTTGTAAGAGAGATTACATCTACAGCCACACTTGAACCCACGGAGCCTTTATCCATTTTTCTTATTTTCATAGGAACATCGGACTCCCTTGCGATTGCTAGACCATCTCCCGGCGAACATATCTGAACATCAACCGAACATCTCCTTGCAATTTCACTTAAACGTTCAGGCACATTATGTTGAATTCCACTGGTGCACGGCATGATTGTATCAGTTCCATTACCATGCTTCTCCAGGTGAACATCTCTGAACATCAACCAAACTAACCAAGGACTAAAGCAGGAACCTCTATGTGATTGACTGTGGATACTTGAACATGTCTCTTCCGGGTAGCTTGTGACTGATAGAGGTCTGAACGACGGCCACGGGCTAGGCCTGAAAAGTTGTCCCATGTGACTGGTCTGCACTTCTACAGGCGGTGGCCATGGTTGATGTTCAAAGCTCTCAGTGGTGGCAGTGGCATGTGTCTCGTCGGCACTGTCGATGGCGGCGATCAGAAGCTGCACGGAGTCATTTGCGTAGACATGGGTTTCTGCCAAGCACTTCGTCGACACTGGATTGGCTGCCGTGGCAACACTTGGGATGATGTCGGAGGTGACGGGCGCAGAGGACAGAACCTCGGAAGTAGGGGTGTTGATGCTGATAGAAGACTCCGGCATGAGTTGCTCTACTTCTTGGGTCAAGCACTCCGTCGAGCAGGTGACGGCCATCATCTCAATGGAAACTGGGGATGAATCATTGGCGGACGTGGGGGCCTCTTGGGCTTGGGTAGTGGCGGAGAAGACATCGGTGGGGGTTGCCACCGGGGTGACGATCTCGGCGTCGACCTCCTGGTGGATGTGGGCGACCAAAGGCTCGAGGCGGACGGATGTGGTGACGTTGTGGACCTCGTTGGCGTTCGCAGCACAGGCGACTTGGGTCGAGCCAGCCATCGAACAGGTCATGGGCATCAGATCGATGGAGTCCAGGAACGCGCCATAGTGGGGCGCGATGACCTCTTGGGCCTTGGTGGCAAAGGAAGAGGTGTCGGGGACGACCGCCACGACAGTGGCGTTGACAGTGAGGTCGCCATTGGAGGCCACGACCGCAGAGCGCGCCGGCTGCGGGGTCGAAGCTCCTGTGAGGAGCTTGGAGAGCAGCTCGTCGTGCTGCGCGAACAGCCTGGCACTGGCCTCGAAGCGTGCCTGAGCCTTCGCCTTGAACTCGTCAAGGCAAGCTTTCAACTCGGGATGCATGGTGGTGGAGAGAATGGTGCGAGGGAAAAAAAAATTGGGCAAAATTTTGAACGAATTTTGGAAGGGTGGTGAGAAGGCTCTGATGCCACGATGTTAGGTTCCGCACGCGAATTACTCCATTACAGATGATTCGAGTTCAGATACATGGATTAGGGAAAGGAGGGAGGAGGAAGAACAGCAGGTAGGAGAAGATAAGGGTAAGGAGAGAGCCGCCGTTGCCTTTGCCTGATCCAAGCCCGGATGCCTCTTTGCTGCTTCCTACGTGGATACTTGTAATCAGGCCTCCCTTCATGTGGCACTCAACCAGGCCCGGCCCATGGGCTGCTGTGGCCGTAATTGGGTCGCTGACAAACTTCGCAAGACTTATTGCTGCCCAGGTATCCTCACCACCGGCTAACACAAATTCTACTTTCCATGATTAGTTATAAGGGCGTATAATCCCTCAAAAAAAAGTTATAAGGGCGTATAACTTCGGGTATTAAAATCTTTCTGTTCATTCATGTCCTGACTGGACCTCACCTTCTCTCCTATGGTTCAGTATAGCTCATTTCTGTGCTTAAATATAGGATAAACAACATCGTCTTCTAAAATCTATTCTGTTACCGCTTGAATTACTTTGTGCTTTCAATATAGTTTGTACAAAAATAAAAACGCTGTACAATAGAAATTGCAAAACCTGTGTTGGACTGCTCTTGAGAAGTTCATAGTTTCCTATTAACAATTTGCTTCCCTGCTTGCACAGGATTCATTGGTAGAGGCTGCTAAAGAGGAAGCTGGCTCCATCAGTAACATCATTGCCCAGGCTACGAAGTAAAAATCTGCGTCTTATGATCCCTGCCCCTCCGCTCTTCGGTTTATGTTTATGTTGGTAAATTTGATGTAATAGCTCCTTTGCTGTATCCATTTTCCCAAATAAATATGACTTCCCGGATTCCACCCCGTTCAGAATGAGTGATATGTAACTACTCCCTCCGTCCGAAAATACTTGTCTTTTGATGACAAGTATTTTCGGACGGATGGAGTACAATGTATGTGCTCCTTTGCAATTGAATTGGGATCTTCAAAAGATAAAGCTGTTATGGAGACTGTTCACCTGTCGTGTTAGTAGCAGGTTTATTTAATGTGAATTGTCATGACATAATCCGGCAGTGCATTCTCTTGTGGTTAAGCACAATGGTTGTTTGGGCCGTGCTCAGGTTGTCCTTCCGAAATAAATTAAATAAAAAGGTTGCCCGTAGTACAACTCTAGCATCTTAGCTATCTCTGGTTATATATTACACTGGTCTTGCTCTCTTCCCTTCTTACTTGCTAGGCTTTACAATATCCACAGGCTTTAGTCGGACGAGGATCCCTTCCCGTACGGCAGGGTGCCGTTCCATCACTGACACATGGGCCCGGCTGGAACTTGGCCCACCTGTCAGTGGCCCAACGGCAGGTGTCGTACATCAGAGGAGCTCCCTCTGCTTTGGTCCAGCCAGTTTTTCCTCTTCCCTGTTTATCCTAAGCTTTCTAGGTGTGACTACTGTCAGCTACTTTATTTCAAACAAGATGGTTTGTTGGGGATGGAAGGTACCAGGATTCCGGAGAACAGGCATGATATGCCACAAGGTTGAGACATTTGCCTGTCATGTGCTGACAATTTACATGACACTTCCGCGGCAGGAATATCTTGCGATCTTAGGTAAAAATAATGCATAGTTCTAGGACTGAAGCTATGCATCAAGTTGTGTAAAAGAAAGAAATAGGTCTAGTTTACCAGTTAGTAGTGCTGAAAAGGAGTGAGGCATCCAGTTGGGTGTGTCTTACATACACATATGTGGTGAAAGCCTAACATTTTGGAAGTGTAATGCATAGTTGATGTCCTGCTTACCTGCATGACGCAGGCTAAATAAACTCTACACTGACTGATGGGATACGATTGGTATGCTTAGCGATCCGCTTTATCATTGGAGATTATTCTCGTGACATAAAGAGGCTTGTGACATGAAAAGGAGAGAAGGGCTATATTTGAACGTGATCATAGTCCACATAACTATGAAGGTGCTCTGTATAATCAATCATTGAATCACACATAAATAAGAAGATGAACCCATTTTGTCGACAGAAGTAATCAACTATATGGCATGCAAATTATATGAGAGAATAACCGGATTTATGCTTCATGTTGCCAAGAGCTGATACATTGTGAGTCAAGGTATTTGAGTTACATAGATAGCATGAGTCGCATGCTCGATTTATTGCGATAAAAAATAAGATGCCTAAGATAGGACTCATCGTCATTCACTGTACTAGATCATTATACCGACCAATACTGAACCCCTTGCTGTATTATCAATTGGCTTTTGCACCTGCAAGATGCCTAAGATAGGACTCATCGTCACTCACTTTACTAGATCATTATCCGGACCAATACCAAACCCCATGCTACATTATCAATTGGCTTTTGCGCCTGCAAGTTGCAACAATTCTCTAAAATACTAGCAACTGTTTCGAGTTTATACTAGAAGCATGTCATTTTGCGTTCTTATTTATTTCATGATTCTTCACTATACATATCTCAGAATTGTTCTAGAAGGAGGGAAAATGATTAGTAGTGTCAGGAATGTATGCAGTGAAACAGGGACTCCAAGTTCCGCTGGTCGTCAAAAGCAGATACTACAACTAGCTGGCACCTACTCCCTCTGTCCCAGAATATAAGAACGTTTTTGACACTATGCTAGTGCTAAAAACGTTCTTATCATTTGGGACAGAGGGAGTAGCATATAAGAAGCATACTATTACTTGACCTTGCTCTGGTTCCTCAAAGGTGGCTATGTCGTTCCTTAGGTTCTGAGAAACTTGTGTTGTACCTAGATAAATTGTATTGCTGATACCGAATGATAATGACTTTAATTAGTGTGCTAGGCCAATGTTTTAAAAAAGGAACTACGGGATACATACGAACTATCATTGCTTAAAGATCCTGAAAAAAATTCATTGCCTAAAGAAATAACTATAAAAACTAAGTATGTTACATTTCATAAACACAAGATTGCTTCTTCACAAAAGTTATATATCGATCAACAGTTAATATTACAATTATATTATACATAACACTCAATTAACATGATAACTCACAATCAAGGTTTTAATAAAGAGAACAAATCTCAAAGGTCAAGAAGATCAACTAAACATCACTGGCCATAAGAAAGAAGATTGACCCCTGCCTCGTCCTCAAACGATTCCTCATCATAAGGAAGTCCTTTCACACGGCTCCGCGCTTCCTATTCAGCGAGCACCGACGACCAGTCCGCCGCTCTACTAGACCTGACCAAGGGGTCAATCCATGGTCGTGGCCGGCGGGTCGCCCGGATGCCTCATGGTCTATTGTACAACGATAGAAAAGCATACCCATTAGTTTGGTATTGATTTGGAATTGCCAAGCCAGGTACAACCAATTTAGTGGAATTTCTTGAGCTAGTGGATTTTCTCAACCATGTTATGGATTCAAGACTGTTACGGTCCCATTTAAAGGATAAAGAGTGTTACGATCAGCCAATGTGGCGTCGCGGAAGAGCAGAGAACCAAGGGGGACGAGCGGACATGCGGATAGATCGTTCGTGCCCGGGTTTGGCCATGGAATGGGGAAGGGCAAGGGAAATGGAAGAAAAATAGAGTAGCAAGGCTACCCCCCGGAGAAACTGAACAAACGCGACCGGTTGTCAAATAAAAACCGCCTGTACTGACGAGAAATTTGAGGCGGTTAGAAAACATCAACCTCCTCTACTTTTTTTTGCAAGTGGTTTCATTGTTCTAACAGCCTCCGAAGTTGTCCATAGTAATTTAGACTGTCTACTATGGGCGTCTTTACAGGCAACTTTGACTAGCTTGTTCACAACCGCCTTTGATATATGCCCGCTCTTAATGCTCGTTTTTCTACTAGTGTTAGTTGAATTTCTTGAGGTAGTGGATTTCTCACTCATGTTATGGATCCAAAGTGTTAAGATCCCATTTCATCACGATCTTTTCTATGGTATCTCTTTCTTGACACAGGTTTTCGCTCCACTTTATATATAAAGAAACACGGTTGAACTGATACAATGATGATGAGGAGACCCTCTTACAAGAAGATCAATGATAAAACATGAGTACATAAGTAACCTCACCGCATCAAGAATCAGCCAAGACTACTGACTAGAAATGAAACACACCTTGGGATATCAATGGGCATCGTTGCATCGCACACACCAAGCTGTCACTGAAGAGGACCAACTGCCTTGTCACTCCAGGCCAAGTAGTGCTGATCCTGCCTGCGGGCAGCAAGGACCGAGAACGATTACCATGAGGACACAATGTATAATATAGGAGACAAACAAGACCGTTGCACGCCAGAGTCGAAGAAACTTGGTTTCCAGATAGAAGCTTGCCCAAAGCCGCCAACACACCGTGACTAAAAGGTATCTAAGCTCCACGACAACGTCCCCAAGAGGGAGAGGCACTATGAGTCACCACCACCATCGAGACTGAAAAGAAGGACGAGGGTTTCCACCAGAAGCCCTGACATGGAAAGGGGAAGTACAACGATGCCCCTAAGAGGAACGTGACATCCCAAGGCATCGCCGCCACGACCTTAGTGCTAAACTTTCCGTCAAAGTCTCATCCATGCCAAACCAAGGTACCAAGGTCATCAATTTACCACGAGTCATGCCTGTTTGGTGACCATTAGGGAAAGGGAATGGGAATTTACATGAGGGAGTTTGTATAGGGATTAAGAATGGGAAATAGATTTTTACTCTTATTCCTTTGTTTGCTATAAGATGGGAATTAGACTGGGATGGAGCATGAATTAACAGAGTACCCCATGTAAAGAAATCAGTGGAAATTGGCTCTCTCAACTCCCATTGCTCTTAGAATCAAAAAAATAAAGAACTCACATTGCTCTTCCCACTTAAAATCCCATTACTTCTAATCAATCCAAGGACTTTTAATCTCCTCACCCCTCAAATTCCATTCCCTATCTCTGATTCCCATGAACCAAACACGCTGGAGATCTGGGCTCCACCCCTTGCAGAGTGACGTCGCCGGGAATCACCCACTACTACTCCCCTTCTTGCTAGCACAACCAAGAAGAGCGGCCACCATCACAGCCATGTTGCCTGCCGGAGGGCCAACCATGACATCCATCACCCAGGGCCGCTGATGGCAACCAAAATCCTGGGTCTCAGCCCACCGGTAGACTGTGTGCTCGCCAGCCGCTTGAGGAAGAGATGTAAGGTGCCTCCTTCCATCCCCGATGCGACATCAGGCACCAGGCACAATGGATTTGGCAAATGAGTCGCCCACACCGGTGTCCAGCCGATTCCAAATCGATCCAGGAGGGGACGGGTCTCAAATGGCTGAGAAGCAGCGGCCGCAACCAGCTTGACCACGACCCTTGCATGACCGAACGAAGATCCACCAGCAGCTGATACGTCTCCATCGTATCTATATTTTTGATTGTTCCATACCAATATTATACAACTTTCATATAATTTTGGCAACTTTTTATACTATTTTTGGGACTAACATATTGATCCAGTGCCCAGTGCCAGTTCCTATTTGTTGGATGTTTTTTGTTTCGCAGAAAATCCATATCAAACGGAGTACAAACGGGATAAAAATTGACGGGGATTTTTTTGGAATATATGTGAATTTTGGGAAGTGGAATCAACGTGAGATGATGCTCGAGGGGCCCACGAGGCAAGGGGGCGCGCCCCTGACCCTCGTGGCCACCCCGTAAGGCAGTTGGTGCCCTTCTTTCGCTGCAAGAAAGCCAATATTCGGATAGAAATCTGG